TCGCAGGTTCAAGCCCCACACCATGCAAAGCGAAGCCCGGTATTTAAGTGGAGAAGGGTAGAGGGGCGGGCCCATTATCCACCGAGTTTAGAAGGCTGTGATTGGTCCAAAGGGCGGGTCACAGACGGATTTCTCGGTTATCAAAAAAAATATCTCTTCCTCCAAGTATCCATGTAGGAAAGCTGATTTGATATCCAACTGAAAGACATGCCACTAATTTTGTGCTGCCAAGGCGATTACCATTATAATGGTGTCATGCCTTGCAACTAGAGCAAAAACTTCAATGTAGTCCACACATACTCCTGGTTGTATCCCTTAGCTACCAATTGTGCCTTATACTTGTCAATTTCACCATTTTCTTTCAGTTTCGACTTGTAGACCGACTTGACACCAATTGTCTTGTGCCCCTTTGGAAGATTTGACAACTCCTCGATGCCATTTCTTTCAATAGCATCATTTTCGTCATTTATAACTTTTCTCCATTTCCCCTCTTTGACAACATTCTCAAAAGATGTAGGATCACTATCTGCAAACAATGTAATGTGAGAAACATCTTCATTAACATCAGTTTCTCTTACCTTATAATCCATCATCCACACGGGCCTTCTGTGAGCATGACGAAGGGACTGATCCGTTGCATCAGTTTCTTCCAAAGCTGTTGGTAGAATTTCAACAACTGCTGGAGTAGAAATTTCAGAATTTTCAAGTATTGCAACTACTTCTCCGACTTCATTATCTACTAAGATTGGAGTTGACTGCTGCATATTCCGGTCCCAAGTGCTCTCTTCATGAAAAACATCTTTGTTGGTCTCAATCTTCTTTGTTAATGGATTGAACATCTTGTACACCTTGGATGCCTCACTAACACCAGCTAAGACACATCTCTGACCTCTATTATGAAGCTACTTTCTTTTTACTTCTGGGTTATGTGCATAAACAATGGACTCAAAAATTTTAAAGTGGTCTACTACAGGTTTCCTTCCGCTCCAAGCTTCCTTAGATGTAGCATCTCGAAGAGCAAAAGTGGGACTTCTATTCAAGATGTGAATGCTCCAATTCACTGCTACCGACCAAAATTGCTTTGGAACTCTTCCTCGAGCCAGCAAGCTACGAACTATGTTGAGAATGGTTCTATTTTTCCTCTCCGTCACATCGTTTTGTTGTAGTGTATATGCTGTTTTCATCACTTTCCAAATGCCACGAGTCTCACAAAAATCATCAAATACCTTAGAGAAGTATTCTCCTTTGCGATCTGTCTGAAGGTTCTTAATAGTCCTTCTAGTCTCATTCTCCTCACGAGCTTTGAAGCTTTTAAAAATACATTAGAAGTCTTAATCTTTTCCTATAAAGTATACACTCAAGTTTTCCTGGAATAATTGCCAATAAAAGTGATAAAATATTTTTTACCTCCATTAGTGATTGGATTTATTGTCCCACAAATATCAGTCACCAGCCTCAAAACCTCCTTGGCTCTCCGTGACTAACTTTTAGGAAACTAAGAACGATGTTGTTTGCCAACAACACATTCTTCACAAACTTGGGAGGGAACAACAATTTCAGGAAGCCCTGTCACCATACTCTTCTGTTGAAGGATCTTCAAGCCACCAAAATTCAAGTGACCATATCAAAAATGCCACAACCATGAAGGATTTTTCACTTCCACCATAGAGAAAGATTGAGCAAAATCTTCAAAGGGAACATGTTTCAACTCATTTTTAATATCTATAACTCCTCTAGATGGATCAGAAGTTTCACATGTGTCATTCCTTAAGGTGATCTAACAGTTGATCGGCACTCAATAAATTACATTTCAAAGCAGGAACATGGAACAGATTAGATATGATTCAGCACACACATTCATGGTTCTAAAATATATATTTACCCTTTTCCATCACATTCACAATTGAGAGATCACCGGAACTAACTGCCGACCTGAAGTTTTTATTTAAATCAACAAAAGAAGACTTACTTCCAGTCATGTGGTTATTGCAACTGGTATCCACCTACCAAATAACTTGCTCCTCGAACTCGTTTTAGCATGAACCACCATTAAAAAGGTATCTCCTTCCTTATTCTCAGCAAAATCTGACTTTTCTTCTTTCTCATTAGGCAACCTAGTACGACATTTAGAACGATAATGATCAAATTTATGGTAACGATAACATTCTACATTTGATTTGTCAAAATCTCTCCCTCCTGCTTTTGCCGTAGTCATCATTGGCTCTAAAATTCCTGATGCCATCTTTGCTGCACCCATCTCTGCCCTCGATCTGAGATGCATTTTCTTTATAATTACTTTTATGGACAAATATACTAATATGGTGGCACATGTTGGTTCTTCTGTTAACAATATGACAAAATTTGTTTGTCATTTTTAGGCAACAAATTCTTGTATCACAGACCATTGTTACATGCATAGACTGCTCGTTTTCTTCCTCAGTTGTTATCTTTTTAGTTGCTTTCCATCACTGTTTTTAGTTGTATGGAGAATGACTCTCAGAAAGGGCATAAAATTAAAGATATAGATCAGTTTCTTGAATCTGGGAAGAAGTAATTTCCATTAGTCTTCAGTTGGTTTGAAATACATGCCTTTGTGCATGCAGATACTATAATTTTCATGAATAAATTAACGTATCTGAACTTTCTACTCATTCTGTGTCATTATTCTCTTATAAGGATTGTTGTGACCGCTTTCAATTAGCCAAAATTTGACCAAAAACGATTTGAGTTGAGCCGAGCTAAAATATAGGGGGCTGAGCCCCAAGCCAGGTTGGTTCGTTGCGCAGGCAACTGATATGATACTTGACATTACTATGGTACATATGCAATGCAGGATACCTAATGTTTGTAGCTTTATCCTAGGAAGTTCATATGTTGGTTATTAATACGTTCCCACTTATAATGATGTCCTTGACACTACAGATGGATTCTGAAGCTAATGAAATGCAACATAAACAAGAACGCTTGAGAACAAGATGGACACCCTCCCTGGACAAGGTTTTTGCTGACCTTGTTGTTGAGCAGATTAAGCTGGGGAACCGTCCGAACAATGTCTTTGATAAGAAAACTTGGAATTATATACGTGATGAATTTAACAGACAGACAAATCTTCATTTCAATAACAACCAACTAAGAAAGCACCTTGATGTGTTGCGAACTCGTTATTACAACCTTAAATCTGCTTCTGATCAAAATGATGCTTTGGACGATTCTTGCTACATTGGTTTTGACCTATGGGAAGACATCGGGGTATTTCTCAGTCTCTCTTTCTATATATGCTTGTGTTTTCAATTCCCCCTCCCACAATTTTCCTAACAGATTCATGGAAAACAGGCTCAGCCGAAGCCTGAATCGAGCAAAACCAAGGAGTGCCCTATCTATGAGCAGCTGTGCACAATATTTGCTGACTCGGGAGCTGATGGGAAGTATGCCCAATCAAGTCACTATGAAGGGCTGGACAAATCTGCTGGGATAGATATCTCATTTAAAGAAAGTGGCAACTTGGTTCCTCCTTCATCATCAACTCCTTTAAACACTGCTGCTACTTTACAACAAACTACAACAAGGACTGTAGCTGGTAAAAAGAGAAAGTGTCCATCAGATATAGTTCCTGCTTCAGGCCAGAACTGCGGGGATAGAGAGATAATTGATGCTATGGCAGAAGCGATGGGGGAGATGATTGCTGCTTCAAAGTTTCAGACAGTTGTAATGCCTCAAGTTGATGGTAGATTTACAATCCGTAAATGTATCAAAGCTTTGGATGAGATAGAAGGCGTTCCAGAAAATCTTTACTATGCAGCTTTGGATTTATTCGACAATCCCAGTCTAAGGGAGATGTTCATTTGTCTTAACAGCAGCAGCATGAAGCTGACATGGCTGCAGGGGAAATGTACTAATCTTTCTTCATTTATCTAGCCTTTCCCCCTGGTTTACAATTTTAGAGGTTGTACCCATTTTATCTAGCGAATTTTTTTTGGAAACTCTATACATAAATTCCTATGGCCTGCTTGTAGTTACCAGCATGGGACAGGTAAATAGAATATAGTTAAGGTAGCAGCATGCATTTGGAGTTTTGGTAAGGCATTGTTGGAAACTAAAGCTTGACATGTTCATAGAGCCCCGCTTAGCAGGTTAGCGATTCTATTTTCTCTTGCAAAGAATGTTTTGAATGGAAGACATTTCTACTTTGAATGATATGTTGGCAACTACACATTTCATTTCATTCATTACAAAGGGTACATGTTTTAAAGTTATTTCTTCTATTTTAAAATTCAAGCTTTGTATGATTGCAGGAGTGTCCGTTATGGCACCATTAAAAGTTTGTATTATGAATTGGTGCATAACGACTGTTACTCCAATTTGAATCAAACCTGTCTGATGTTGTCCCATAACTTGAAGAGGCAGCATTCCATATTGGAAACTATTTATCATGTCATCAATCAGTGAGGATTTTCTAGTCCATGTCATTTTGTTCCATGGCCAAACAGTTGTTTTCGTATTTCGTGCATCCTTTACTGGCAAAACACATAGGAACTTCATCCATATACCACTTTATCTTTTTCTTCAAGGGAGTAGAAATATGCATCTTCCAAATCCTGTCCAAAGGTGAAGGTCATTTCTATCTCTCACCGACAAATGAATCTGGTCGCCACAGAGTAAATGTATATTTGTCACGTCCACTCAAGTCAGGCTTGGTCTGGTGTACTGCATTGGGCAAAATTTGTCTAGCATACGGGGCTATAAGGAGGACTAGAATGTGGAAATATGTATTGATTATCCTCGGGATTTCCATAGCGGACTGGAATGTGGAAATATGTACTGATTATTCTCGCCATTTCCATAGCAGGGCTCCTTCTCCCAACTTTAGTATTGATTTTCTTATGTTTACATGTGTGTATCGTCTTCAAAAATTCATTTTCAGCTTCAATAGATGACTTAGGTTTTAGCTTGGTCATCATGTGGTAAGTCGTACCCTCCTTTTTTTTCTGTCTGTCTGTTAAGTAAAGCCATATTCAATAAAACCGGGATGTGAAGGAAAATCATAAGGCAAACCACAAACAAAAACCATCTTAGCTAAATTTTCGCGATCTCTTTTCTTATTATATTTACGTTGTGTTAGTGGACCACTGGGGTTAGAAGGATCTAATGTTCCTTGAACCATGTTCGAAGCCCTTACTGATTGATTAACATTAATATCAACATCATTAACTTGAATTCCTTTTTTTTTAATCGGCTAAAGCTTTGGCTGCTTTATATTCAATAAGCATACAAGATAATAAATGTCTATTTAAGCCCCCGTCCCACCGTGACCTCCACCTTGTCTATGTCTAAATTGTTGCTTACACTTATTACAAATAGCAATAGAGTTTTCCTTATCTAAAGTCATAAATTGCCACACAACAGAAGTTTTAGGGTGTTGATACTTCACCTTCTCCCTTGTAGGAGGTACAAGGGGGGTGGGTGGGTTCACAATTTTGCTCCGTTGGATTTGTAGTTTCAGTTGAAACTTCCGTTAGCGGACTAGTAGGTGTTTCTTCTAATTCATCTTCTTCCGAATCACCTTCTACTTATCTTCACCTGAATTTTCATCACGATTAGGATTCATATTACCATAATGTCGTTCTAAAACTTCATGATCAAGTTCAACATTTGAATCAATATCAAAATGAGGAGTGAAAGAAGTATCATCAACATAAGTAGAATCATTTGTATTAAATCTAACTCTAGGTATTGATTTTGAAGAAGAACCACCACATTTACTTTTATTTTTTTCCTTACTACTTTTTTTAGAAAAATTAAATAGATTACTAATAGTGGTTGCTACCTTCTCTTTACCGGTATTTTTTTTTGCTAGAACTCATATTTAATAAAATGTGAAGTGTAATATAAAAATAATAATAACACAAAAATTAATTGCGAAAAATTAAAATTAAATATAAATATTATGAAACGAATGTACAAAACGTCTGCGTTAATAGCAGACGTTATAACCGATTCTTGAAGCTTGTAGTTTGTTGTAAGTTGTAATTTGGAACTTCAATACTTGATAGCAAATATGAGAATTAATGTATATATTATGATATAATATGAAAATTTAGAATTGAAATATATATATCAAGATATAACATGAGAATTTATAATTGAGAATTAAATGGAATCAAGAATTAAGATTTAAGAATGAGAGGATATAGAATATAGATGAGAGAATAGATGATTTTGTAAGAAATAATGAAGTATAGGGGCATAATATTAAAAATGAATTAAAGTGTATTTATTATAACTTTAGGGTTTAAATTAAAGTTTTAAAAGTAGGGGATGGTAAGGGGTGTTGGGGAAGTGAAAAAGCTGATTATATTCGTTGGGGTGGCCCACTAGCCGTTGCCCCAACGGATACAATTTGAAAAACAAAAACAATTTTTTTTTAAATTTTGTCCCGTGAAACCGGTCAGTTCAGCCGGGCCGGAACCGGGCCAAATCGGGCCGGGTCGACCGGGCCAAAATGCTGAACCGTCCCCTAATCGGTCCCCCTACCCTAAATCCCCCCAGACCGGCAGACGATACGGGATTGGGTTCGGCGAGATGGATCTCGAGCTGGTCGCGGACCGGGCCAACCCGGTCCCCTTGCCAGGCCTAGTAAAGAATAGATAACTTAATCCAGGTTGATGCGTATGCTGGTTGGAAGATAAGTACATTTTTATACTGCTTTGTCCAAATTGTTGGAATGGAAACACCAGAGTCGAGCTCAATTTTAAAATTTAGCAATTTAATGTACTCATCGTGGCGTTTGTGAAAGGCTGGGATTGTAGATTGATCTCTGGTTGCTTCCTTTGTGATCTACTAAATTCCTTGTAATTGTAACTATTGCACCTTGATCTTCAGGTGTCTTTGTTGGTGCCTCCAGACACAAATTTGTGCTAATGGAAGTCAAAGATGTACAAATTTGTATATGTGATCTGTACTCAAATGTTTTAGCTTTGGAAAGTGAAGTATGATACTGAACAAGTGTGAGTTCATTTAATCTTAGCATCATGCCAATTTTGTAACGATAATACCAGCTTAATGTATATCAATGCACATATTAAATGTTTTTCCTTGTCAAAAATATATTTGATTTATAAAAACTTACAAGACATCTCTGCCCAAGTAAGAACAAAAAATGCAATACATCTCTGTCCAAAAAATAACATTCCACCTATGTACTCCTCCAAACAACATAATAAAGAACGATATTAATGACAAATCACAAGACATTATTTACCATACTACAAACGACCCAAAATCCAAAAACTACCCTGGGATTTGCCCCCCAAAAACCAATAAACTTTTATCGGGAAAAATAGATACCCATGTCGCCCCCCCAAAGAAAGGCATAATGCATAAATGTATTTTTTAACTCGATCTCATTTCACATTTATGTCTTCTAACTTCGGGTGTATATAAGTAGACACTTAAACTTGTATAAAGTTGAACAACTAGACACATGCGTCCTATGTGACATAATACACATAGAAAACCATGTAGGAAAAAAATTGTCATGTAAGATGTCACGTAGGACGTGTGTGTCTATTTAAAAAAAAAAACCCCATCCCCCCCCCCCCCCCCCAAAGAAAGGCATAATACACAAATGTGCTTTTTAACTCGATCTCATTTAACATTTATGTCCTTTAACTTTGGGTGTGTACAAGTATACACTTAAATTTGTATAAAGTTGAACAAGTAGATACATGCGTCCTAAGTGACATAATACATGTAGAAAATCATGTAGGACAAAAATTGTCATGTAGGCTGCCACGTAGGACGTGTGTGTCTATTTGTTTAACTTTATACAAATTTAAGTGTCTACTTATGCACACCTAAAGTTGGAGGGCATAAATGTGAAATGAGGCCAAACTAAAGAACATATTAATGTATAATGCAACTACGTTACTACAAAAAAACAACATTAGCAATGTCAAAGAGTTGTGGGTTGTTTGGTTGAGAAAAGTTATCCTATGATTAATTATCTCGAGATTAGTTATCATGGGATAAATTATCTCACACCATGTATATGAGATAACTTATCCCATCATTATGATATAAATGATGAGATAAGTTATTCCAAACATGACAACTAATCAAAACACTAAAATTTTATTCCATGAATATTTATTTTTCACACAAAATGATTAGTGTCCAAGTTCTCCTTGAATGATCCTTATATCGACAACGAGGATAAACCCCACGCTGCAATCTCTAATACACTGAGAAAAGACACCTCAATTGACCTTCATACTATATCCTCTTCCACAAGGCCTACTCTTAACTAAATCCCACCTTTTGGGGAACAAATCATACTTCCCACACGGAAACTCTCACTACCACAAATACCAAACTAATTCAATTGATATGGAACATAAACATAGTACCACACAACCCAACCAAACTACAAATTCACTTTCAAATCAGCCCATATACGAATAATAATACTGCAACAAGTACTACTAAATCTTCAAGTACAACCTACCATATCCTATAGAAATCTCAATACTCCAAAAGATAACTTTATAACCCATTCCCAAATCAGTGACAAAGCACAAGTCTCATTACCACACTCCTCTAATCTTGATGAGCAATCAATCAAGAATATCACAACTCAACCACTTCCACTACCACTTTCAACATCACAACTCCATCCAATGCCAAAACATGCGCTTCTTCAACTCGAACAATACCCAACATCCTCATGACCTTGGACGGAATGGAAAACCCACCACAAAACCTATACCTCTACCACAGTTGATAGAGGAAAAGTTAACTCGCAGCATAATAAAATTTGACTGTGACACAGTTGGAGCTAACTCAGGAATTGACAATGTTGGAATTTTACCACAATCTTCATCTCCCTGTAGCTCTATCCAATTTGAGTATGCAACACTTATCCCTTATACTCCAACTAAACAACTTTGTGAACTCATTACTGTGACAAATCCTGATATGCAAGTCCAATATGGTTGTAGTTGGGGAACCACTTGGTTTTCCATCTGCTTGTCTTCTTCGTTGGACTGAAACAGAGTTTGCATATCTAGGATTTATCGTAATGATGAGTTCACAAAGCTGTTTAGTTGGTGTATAAGAGATAAGTGTTGCATACTCAGATTGGATAGAGTTGTAGGGTGATGAAGAATGTGGTAAAATTCCAGTGTTAAACAATTTTTGAGCCCAACTGTGTTGCAACCAATCTTATAATGCTGCTAGTTAGCCTTTCTTCTATCCG